GGGCGGGAGCTGGGGGCTAGGCGGGGCGGGGCCGGGCAGGCCCCTTCCCCCACTTCAACTTTGGGGACGCGTGGGGACCTCGCGGCGCGTCCCCTCGCCTAGGCTCTGGCAGGGGTGGGGGGGCTTCTTCAGGCATCGACCCCCATGGAGAAGGGAGCCAGGAGCACATGGGTCTGTTTACAAAGTCAGAAGGGCAGGGGGACTCTCTCCCCATGGGAACCTCCCCTGGGATCCCTTCTCCTCCAGGTGAGGCTGGCACTCTGGTCAGGGCATGGGGAGAAGGGAGTGCAGTGGGAAGCAGCTCAGAGAGACCCCTGTGCTCTGCCTCAAGGCATATATGAAGGAGCATGGAGCACCCTGGGAAAGGCTCAAGAAGACCCCTGTTTCAGCGCTTTATGGGAGGGGCCACGGGAACATGGAAGGGCTCAGAGACACCCATGTCCAATGCCCCAAGGCACTGTGGGGAGGGCCTCACAGGACCTTGGGAAGGGACTCCTGATGACTCCCAGTCAGGAGCACCATGGGAAGTGGCCCCAGAGGGTGAGCCAAGGAGTTTTAAGAGAATCCCGCTCCCCAGGAGCACTGTGGGGAGAGACCCTAGGACCGTGGGAAGGCCCTCAGCGATCCCAGTCACAAGGCAGGCTGGTGGGGCACCCAGAGGTATCCTAGGGCATTATGGGAAGTTCCCAGAGCATTGGTGGACCCTCAGAGGGCTGTGGAAAGGACAGGGCTTCTGCTCTAGGTAGGACCTCAAAAGTCACTGCCCAAACCAGAAGCGTCACCACTCCGCCGTAGTAGCCTCCCAGCCCCTGGGGGCTGTCCGGCATTTGGGGATCTTTGTTCCCCCCACCTTCGGCTTCAGAGTCAAAGAGGGGCTCTGGGTGGATGACTGGGCCAGGAGCAGGGCATTTGGTGCCTCCGAGGACGGCACTTAGCCCAGCCCCTGGGGATGTAAGGCACCTACTCCGACCCCCAGGACCCCTTCCAGAGGGGTTGGTGTGGGGAGATGCTGGGCCTTCACACTCCTGACTACTCTACCTGGCCCATCCCCCTCCCTGAGCCCCCACCAGCTTCCATTTCAGTCCCTCTGGGCAGTGGGAGGTGCAGGTGGCCAGACCAGACAGCTGGCGGTAAGCTCACGCACCCTCCCCAACCCTAGTCCTCATGACCGATAAGGAGGCCGGGCAGCTGCCGCAGGACGAGGCGCTGGACGAAGCCGTACTGGGGTACCGGGCCCCAAGGCAGAAGAGCCTGCGAGAGCTCCAGGAGCTAGACTCGGACAACGAGAGCCTGATCAAGTACAAGCAGGCGCTGCTGGGGCCCCTGCCGCCGGTCTCGGGTACAGGAAGGCCTGGGAGCAGCAGGGGAGGGCCCTCCCGGGGGGGGTCAGGGCGCCCTGTGACTCTGTGACCGGCCATCTGCCCTCCTCAGACCCGAGCGTGCCCAACGTGCAGGTGATGCGGCTGACGCTGATGTCGGAGCAGGCCCCAGCACCCGTCACCATGGACCTCTCAGGTAAGGACTCCCTGATGCCTGGAGCCCCACGTGAGGGCCTCACAGGGTACTGCCAGCCACACACTGCTCTCTGGGGCAGAGACCCCATCACTGTGGCCCTCCTAGGGCCCCCATGCCCAACCCGAGTCCTTGGGCCCATCTCCTGGGGAAGGGTCTCAGCCATCCTGGGCACTCAGTCCCCAGGTGCTGTTTCCCTAACAGGGGACCTGGTTATGCTGAAGAACCAGGTGTTTGTCCTGAAGGAGGGTGTGGATTACAGAGTGAAGATCACCTTCAAGGTAAGGGTTGCTGCATGTGTGTGTAGAGAGGAGAGGCACAGCCAGCCAGAGGCTCAGCCCTCTAGAGACCCCTAACACCCTGTGTCCCCGCAGGTCAATAAGGAAATCGTCTGTGGCCTCAAGTGCCTGCATTACACCTACCGCAGGGGCCTGCGTGGTAAGGGTGGGGATAGGCGGCTGGTGGGGAAGGGGCAGGGGAGGGAAGGGGCAGCGGGGCCCGGCCAGCCTCACAGGGCCCTTGACAACCGACCTTGCCCTCCCCCAGTGGACAAGGCTGTTTACATGGTGGGCAGTTACGGCCCGAGCACCCAGGAGTATGAGTTCGTGACTCCGGTGGAGGAGGCGCCGCAGGGTGTGCTGGCACGGGGCACCTACGTGGTCTCGTCCTGCTTCACAGACGACGACCGGGTGGCCCACCTGTCCTGGGAGTGGAGCCTCCGCATCTGCAAGGACTGGCAAGACTGAGCCCACTCCCCTCAGTCGGCCCTGTTTGGTCCTTGTTGCCCCACTGTGGTTAGCTGCTGCACTGGGACCCCCAAGCGTTCCCCAGTCCCCTCAGTCAGTGATCAGACCCCCAACCCCTTGCCCGGTCCGGGACCCCTGAACAGTTCCATTAAACGTCACCCATCTCAGTGACCTCGTGTCTCCTCTTTCTGCCTCCCCCTCCCGCGGGGGGCAGGCCTTATGGCCTTATCTCCCCCTGGATGGGCCTCTGTGCCACGTGGCGGCCACTGCTTGGCCTGGGCCCTCTTATCTGCACCTGCCCTGTGGTCCCGGCACAGCCATGGACGGCCAGCTGCTGCCTGCGCTGCTGTTGCTGCTGCTTCTCAGGGCCTTGGGCCCTCAGGGCCAGGGGCCAGGGTCCGGGGGGCCCTCGGGAGAGCCCCCAGAGCGGGTCCCTGAGTTCTCCGAGGAGGATGGGGTCTTAGTGCTGAGTGGGAACACCCTGGGATTGGCCCTGAAGAAGTACCCGGCCCTGCTGGTGGAGTTCTGTGAGTTGGGGATGCTGGGGCCACCAAAGGCTGAACTGGGGCATGCAGGCACCGAGGGGCCACCCCCTCCCCGTGGGACTGGCTCCCTGCATTCAGCTGAGCTCCCTCAGAGACAGCTCTGGGGCTGACAGATGGGGGCCATACAGGGGCAGGGCGAGACCTGGGGATGAGAGCCCATCCACACCCCTACTCGTGGTTTGGTCCTCTCCCTGGCCCAATGACCAGGGGGCCCCAGAGCAGGGCTGCAAATGGTGCAAAAGGCTGGGCAGTAAACGATTCAGGTTTTGCGGCCACACATGGCCTCTGTCACATGGCTAGTCCACTCTGAGCTGGCCTCAACACGCAGCCACACTTGCCGGCCCCACCTTGGGAGAAGGGTTCTCAGAACCCTCACTCTCAGGATGTCGCTGGTTTGAGCCCCCAGCCCCCAAGCTGGGTGGCTCGAGGAAGGGGGAATCAGGGTCTCCAGTCTTTGTGTTTGGGCCCGGCTGTGACCATGGTGGGTGGCTCCTGAGGAGGACGTGTGGCCAGACGCTCTTGTTCCCTGCCGGACGAGACCACCCCAGGTGCCACAGGCTGTGGCCAGGTGGTGTGCAGGGGCCGGGGCCAGGGAGGCTGAGGGGTCCACTCTTGGCCCCGCTTCCCCAGACATCCCACAGTGTGGCCACTGCAAGGCCCTGGCCCCCGAGTACAGCAAGGCGGCCACACTGCTGGCAGCAGAATCTGTGAAGGCCACCCTGGCCAAGGTGGACGGGACCACGGAGCCGGAGCTGACCCAAGAGTTTGGAGTGACTGAGTACCCCACACTCAAGTTCTTCCGAGATGGGAACCGGACACACCCAGAGGAGTACACAGGTGGGGAGCCAGCGTGGGGTGGGGGGACCAGCGTAGGGGCATGCCCAGGCTGAGCAGGCCCCTTGGCAGGCCCCCGGAAGGCTGAGGGCATCGCCAAGTGGCTGAGTCGGCGCGTGGGGCCCAGCGCCACCAGGCTGGAGGACGAGAAGGGTGCCCAAGCACTGGTAGACACCCAGGACATGGTGGTCATCGGCTTCTTCCAGGTGAGCTGGGGGCGTGGGGGCCAGGCCCTGGGAGTGGGCCTGTGGCACCAGTCAGCCTCACAGGGTTGGGCCATAGGACCTGCAGGACGAGGATGTGGCCACCTTCCTGGCCCTGGCCCAGGATGCACTGGACCTGACCTTTGGCCTCACTGACCAGCCACAGCTCTTCCAGAAGTTTGGCCTTACCAAGGACACTGTGGTCCTCTTCAAGAAGGTTCGGTAGGGGCTGGGTGGAGATCCTGGGTGGGGTCACAGCTGGGTGGAGGTCCTGGATGGAGTTGGGCTGGATGGGGGGACATAGGTGGGAGACCTGGGTGGGGTCAGGGCTGTGGCTCCCACTGACCAGCTAGTGTTGTCCAGTTTGATGAGGGCCGGGCTGACTTCCCCGTGGATGAGGAGCTTGGCTTGGACCGGGGTGACCTGTCACGCTTCCTCCTCACGCACAGCATGCACTTGGTCACAGAGTTCAACAGCCAGGTGAGCTAGGCTGCAGATGCGGGAGCTGGGGGCCTCCAGGGAGCTGGGGTGCACAGGAGCTGCCTCACAAGCTTGCCTCCCCCCCAGACATCCGCTAAGATCTTTGCTGCCGGGATCCTCAACCACCTGCTGCTCTTCGTCAACCAGACACTGGCCTCACACAGGGAGCTCCTGGCGGGCTTTGGGGAGGCGGCTCCCCCGTTCCGGGGGCAGGTATTGGGGGGGTGCTGCAAGGGGTGGGCTGGGTGGCCGGGGGGTGCCCAGTGCCAACTCCTGCCGGCCAGGTGCTGTTCGTGGTGGTGGATGTGGGCGCGAGCAATGACCACGTGCTGCAGTACTTCGGCCTGAAGGCCCAGGAGGCCCCCACCCTGCGCTTCATCAACATGGAGACCATGAAGAAGTACGCGCCCACAGGCGAGGGGCCAGTCACTGCAGCCACCGTCTCAGCCTTCTGCCACTTGGTCCTCAATGGCGAGGTTGAGGTCAGTGGCTTAACTGGCACCACACGGCATGGGGGGGGGGCTAGCAGGAGGCAGGGATCCCCACCCTGCAGAGTGCCCACCAGTGCCACGCCTGTCCTGGCCACCAGCCCTATCGCCTGAGTCAGGAGGTCCCGGCCGACTGGGACCAGCGGCCTGTCAAGACCCTCGTGGGCAAGAATTTCGAACAAGTGGCTTTCGACGAGACCAAGAACGTGTTTGTCAAATTCTGTGAGTGATGCGGGCGGGTGGGGGTGGACAGCGGCCGGGCGGACCCTGAAGGCCAGTGCCAACGCCCCCCTGCCCTAGACGCCCCGTCGTGCACCCACTGCAAGGCGATGGCCGCAGCCTGGGAGGCACTGGCTGAAAAGTATAGCGACCGTCAGGACGTCATCATTGCCGAGCTGGACGCAACGGCCAATGAGCTGGAGGCCTTTGCTGTGCACAGCTTTCCCACCCTCAAGTACTTCCCGGCAGGGCCCGGTCGGAAGGTGAGGGTGGACGGCCAGGATGGGAAGAGGGAGGAGCTTCCAACCTCTGCCTGGTCAGGTCCTTGATCCACATCGCGCTCACGGGGCGGGGCCTGGAGGACAGGGCGGGGCCTGGTAGAGGGATGGGAGGGTGGCGTGGGGCCTGGGAAGGGCGGGGCTTCAGAGGGAAGAGCAAGGCAGGATGGGGCGTGTCCGCCAGTCCCGGGTCCCTCCTCTCAGGTGATCGAATATAAAAGCACCAGAGACCTGGAGACCTTCTCCAAGTTCCTGGACAATGGAGGCAAGCTACCTGAGGAGGAGCCCGCGGAGCCTAGAGCCCCCTACCCGGTGGGTGCCCCACACGCGGCTCTGTCCCAGGGCTGCCAGACCTCGGGACAGGCCTCTAGAACGGGGGGCTCGGGCTGACTGGTGCAGGCCCGTGGGTGGTGCTCCGAGCAGTGCCTCTGGGACCCTTCCAGGAGACGGCCAATTCCACCGTGCTACCCAAGGAGGAGCTGTAAGCGGCCGCCTGCTAGCCCCACCCGAAGGCCCCTCATTGCCGCATTGCAGCCCAGCCAGCCTGCGGGGCTGGAGGGTTGAGTCCTGAATAAAGAGCCCTGTCCCGGCTGCGTGTATGGTTCTGGGCTCATTGTGGCTTGAATCTCAGCTTCCGGGGTGGACGCTGGCTCGGGCGCCCCACCAGGGCAAGAAGGGGTGCTGGGGTGGGTGCAGGCACTGGGCAGCTGTCCCTCCACAGGGCCACCGTGACCCACAGAGCAGGTGTAACCTTCCTGGCCAGGGCCTAGGCTTGGTGACGGGGCAGCGTGAGGCCAGGCTGGCGAAGGGCGACTAAGGCTGGTACATCCCCGGCCCTGCAGCAGACAGAACACCCCCAGGCAAGAAGGTTTACAAATGTTTTATTTCATTATTATCCAAGTACCTTTGAAAAGACCATTGTACAAGTCAGCGCATGAGAACAGCACGGGCAGCCGCCCGCTAGCCCTGCCTGAGAAATGTACATATTTACATGGGGCGCGGGGGCTGTGGGGTGGCCGTCCCTGGGAAATGGTCCCCGCCGCAGAGTCACACAGTGGCAGGCAAGGGACAGGCTGTGTCGAAGGCACTCGGTGACATGTACAAGTGATGGGCCCACGAGCAGGGGTCCCTGTGGGGAGCAGATGCCCTGGGGCGAGCCCACGCCCCAGGCAAGGCCTCCAGGGTCAGGCAGGGCCCATTAGCAGCAGAGGGACCGCTGGAGCTGGCCGGCGCATGGGGTCACCCTGCTGGGCCGGCCCTCAGTATTGCTATGGCAGCGGGGAGGGCCTCCCTCCTCGGCGGCCGTACAGAGGCCTGTGGGGCCCCTCAGAGGGACCCTAGCCCAGACACAGGTGGGACAGGGCTTTGCTGCCGTGTCCGCGGAAGCGCTGTTTCCTGTGTGACGGCGCGTTGTGTGTGGACTGCCTGCCCAGGGCCAGTGCCCGTGGTCAGTCCACCTTCTCCACCTTGCCGATGATCTTCTCCTCAAAGACGGGCAGGACAGCCTGGTCCTCCCGAACCTCTTCAAACACTACGCCGCAGTCAAACTCATCACTCACTTTCTTGAAGTAGTATCTGCGAAGGGCGGAAAGCGGGTGGTGAGGGGACCCAGGCTACAGTCCGGTCCACTGCTCTCCACCCACGTTCCCTGCCCACGGACCCGACTGTCCGGCCCCAGAGCGCCACTCAAGGCAGCTCGACCGCGGCACTTGGCCGCTCTGGCCCCACCCCCACGCTGACCCCCGCCCCAGGATACGCGCTGGCCCCGCCCCGGGAAACCAGCTGGCCCCGCCCCACGTTGACCCC